GCTTGCTTTCCTGAGTGGTCAATTCACAGGAGCGCAGCTCAAGTGGCCTACTATCGAGAAAGATGCCTACGCGATTGTCGAGTCGGCAAAACGGCAGTAGTTATCATATACTGGTTTCATAGCCATTTTTTTTTCACCGCACGTAGATAGTACGCTGAGGACTGTCTATACCATTACGTACCCTGAATGCACTTTTTCTTAACTTTCTCTGTACAAGGGATAGAGCACCAATCTATATGCTAATATTGAAATGAAGAATTTCCCGATTTTTGAGTTATATAAACATACCTACAAACCTTATAATACCACATCATGAGAATATCTAATATTATGGATGGAAAAGTTTTCTATTTAGAGACAAGAAATACAAAGTATAAACAATTATGAAAAACTACAAGCTGCAACTTTTGAAAGAGTACCTCGGAAACTTAGAGGAATACCAGTTCACCGGATGGATGTTCAATAAGGCTTTCGTGGATACCAATAATGAAAAAGGTTGGAAGTCACATTGGCAAAACAACATTTATCCACTAAGCATGTTCAAAGGAAAATGCCCACTACCTTTGAATAACTGTCATTGTAAGACAGAGATTATTTGGAATTGTTTAATCAAACACATTCCTACTGGTCGACTAGAGTTTGTTGGATCCACATGTATGGAAAAATTTAAGTTCAATAAAAAGAAATGCATCCAGTGCTTCAAAGAACACAAGTATCATACCCCGCGTTGTGATCACTGTAGAATCAAATGCAAGCTCCATAATGAGTATCACTATGATAATAGCGTTCATACAAATGCTGTAGCGACTACTCTACTTCGACAAATGTTAAGAAGCAATTCATCAAAGCCATTCATTGATCGTCCTCTATCATTTACTCAGTACCAAGGTAGAACTCCGCGATCCTTGGTTCATGAGGATGACCATTTCATTCAACGCATGTTTGAGATGAATATTTTTAGCTTTAGTGACAAGCAAAGCCTTGCGAAGCTACTCCCCGATACATCAATACAAGTAGGGAAACATCGTGGAAAGACTTTCAGGGAAATAGCTGTACAGAACCCAAACTACTATCGGTGGGTCAAGCAAAATTTTAGTGATTCATTTGCGAAGTATCTTTGATACATACCACTCAG